GTATTTTACAGCTGATCAAAATTTTCTGTTACCTATATAGCTGAATATTACAAATTACAATCCTAGAGCGCGTTAGTTACTTTATCAGGGGGCATACTTATTTCGCGATTTTTGACACTAGTTGTCCCGTATTGTCATTTATAGTATTTGGTAATTGTATGCCAGTTTATTCTCAAACACGAATAGTGAACCACGTGGATAATGTGATTGTGTTTTATACATTTTGTTTTAAGTTTATTTGTTAAATAATTTAATTTTTTAACACTGAAATGGCTACTTCCAAATCAAAGTATAGTTTGAACGAAGAAAATGTACTGAAATTAATTACTTTGTATCGCCATCATGAAGTACTATGGAACGTAAAACTGAACCAATATAAGAACAAAGATGCACGGAACCAGGCATATAAAACGATTTCTGAAGAAATTAATAAACCTAATTTTGGACCATCTGATGTTCCAATAAAAATAAAAAATTTACGTACGGCCTACCACCAAGAAAAAAGAAAAGTAGAGGATTCAAAAAAGTCTGAATCAGGTGGCAACGATGTGTATAAACCAAAAGTATTTTGGTTTGAAGCACTTGATATATTTTTGCATCCGGTTGTCGAATCAAGGAAAACTCATTCTAATTTGGTAATTTTTTAATATATTTCATTACCAAAATTTAAATAATTAAATTACATAAATACCAATAGTAAATACTAAATTTATGTATAATATAATATTAAAATTTAGTATATAGGTCCGTGAATTTGGTCGCACAATGTCAAAATTTAAAAAAATGTAATACGTAACTAATACAAACATAACAATAATATTAATTAATATATAGATAAATTTACTTAAAAAATCATATTATCCTGCCATGGAACAGCACCTTCGTTATTAAAATATTGTGTGTATTTTTCTCGCAATGTTGTGGCTGATGTCGACGGATATCTCGGTGGGTGAGAAGTCATATTTATAATTCCTGTTGGTTGTACTTCATTACGCCATGATCCAGGAGACCAATTACAATTATCTAAATCTTCATAATCAAATGTACCCGATGGTGTGTAGGTAATAGKCGATTTTATTCTAAGTCAATTATGTAAAGCACAAGTAGCATTTACGATACTGTCTACCTTTTCTGGAATAAGCGATATTGGTTTTTCATAAACTCTAAATCGACTTGTTAGAATTCCAAAAGCATTTTCTACTATACGCCTAGCTCTTGACAATCTATAGTTAAAAATTTTTTGTTCTTTTGTTAAATTTCTTCGCGCATATGGTTTCATAGGAAACGCTTCATCGGCAACAAAAACTGTGTCTTTTGGGAGGTTTAGTTTATTATTTTCAATTGCATATTTTAAGGAACAATCTGCAAATATACCACCATCCGACTGTCTTCCTTTTGCTCCAATATCTACATAACGAAAGCAATAATCATGATCTACACTTGCCATTAAGACTATACTACAAGAATTTTTGTAGTTGAAGTTCTCAGTCCCTGTGCCCGGTGGTTTTTTTTACAACTACATGTTTCCCGTCAAGGGCACCAACGCAGTTAGGGAAATTCCAACGCAAATTGAAACCATTTTGGATTTTTTTCCATTCCTCTTCTTTTTTAGGGACCTGGAAATGTATAAAAATATTTCAGATTCAAAAATAATATAAATATTAAATATAACATAAAACCATACAACCATTTGAACAGTTGATTTTTTTATTTATTACGTTTTCGAAGTACCCACATAATTTTCAACTTATTATTTATTATAGGAAATGCTCATTGAAAAAGATAACGAATCTCAGTCAAATTTTGTTTGTGAAAATTTAACATCAGCCGAGTCCATTCAGCTGAATAGCTCTTTTTCATCAGTTGAACATAATGCTACATTAATCTCTGCAGTTAACAATACATCCCAACTATCATCGGACTTATCAGAAAAAGTTTTATCACCTCCGCTACCACCTCCACGGACTTTAAAACGATCAATTTCAAAAAAAAGGAAAAATGAAGTGTCGGATACAACATATCTTGATAATGCTCTAAAAAAATTAGACGAAATATCTGAAAAAAGTTCTTAGGTACTCTGAATAAATATTGAAGACTGGTAAAAGAATTGCCTGTGGCCAAAAAACGAAGTACTATTTCCAATTTTGTACTTGCAGGTAATGCTTTTCTAAAAAAAGTGTCTTCTTTTTGAATTAATGGTTTAACTTTATCCAGTAAATATTGAAAAAGGTAATTATCCATTCTCAAAAAGTTTTTGTATGATGATGGATCTTCATTTCTTAATTCAAAACATAAACTATTTGATGCGCCAACACTATTTCTTCTATTAATCCACTGTCGAACCCATAATCTTTTTTTTTTTAAAGCTTCTTGCTTCTTTTTTAAGATTTCTTTACGAAGCATATCACAAACAATAAGTACTCCTTTTTTTGTTGAATCCATTTAACAGTCTCGTAAAAATTAAAAATATTTCAAAATTAAAAAAAAACAGCACTTCTAGTCGCGATCAGATCACTTTTGAAACTAAACAATATTTAAATACATGCAAGACTACACATATACAAGCATGTATGTGAACATGCACTTGCGTATTACAATGCGTATTCTTCCATGATATATATTGCAAGCAAGTCTACAATGCGAGAAATTGCAATAGTGTGAACCCGGCATAAGAGACGGCACGCAATTTGGACATTCCAATGCGACGCCATTCATAAATAATATTGCGAATCGTAATATCTCAGCTCCTATGATAGTTTGTGCCAAGGATATTGAAAAAATGACAAATAATTACTGTTTAACACGTTCACTGCGGATCATATTACAATACACATTCAAATGTGCGGAAGTAATTCAAAGTTTTTTTTTCGTTGACGCCAATTGGCGTCATCCGCACCACATACACTTTGCTTTTATCTGACGCTGATTGACGCCAATTGGCGTCATAGCAAATTTGTTATGCTAGGTATACCAAACAGTTACTCACAACTATCATACCAAATTGTTACTT